CACACCACAGGCACATCACAGGGGCACAGGCGCAGGCACCACTGTCATCAACACCACACATGCCATTTCACACACACACACACACACACAAGTCACACATCACACACAGCTCTCAATGGAGTCACGTCCCTGCTGCTGCAGGATTTTGCTCCGCTGGCTCGGCTTGTCGTCAGGCGGACGTCTCGCTCAGCTTGCAGAGCTCCTGAGCGGGGGGGGGGGGGGGGGGAAACGTGCTCTGTCTGCAGCTTGTTGGCGCGACAACATCTTTGACCTGCTTTTACTTTCCTGCTGTAATGCTGGGATGTAATGCTCTGCTGCTGCCTGAGTTACTGTTGTTATTGATTACATTTCATATTTACTGTCTGTGGAAGGAAAGGATTGACATTCAAACTGACAGCACATCTAACATCCACAATGTAATAATAATAGTGTGTAGAATGTGGAGTAGAAGCCAAACACTCATATATATTTTGGTTTTGCCGTATCATCTTTTTAAAATGTTATAAATACATGGTATACATTCTGCAAAAGCTGCTAGGATGTGATATATTTATGAGTTACTCTGTCTATATTTTAAATGTTGCTGTAGAAAATGTGAGAATAAGGCAAGTTTATTTATATAGCACCTTTCAACACAAGGCAATTCAAAGTGCTTTACAAAAATGAAAGACATTAAGAAAATGGCATTTAAAAACAGTCATTAAAAAGCAAAGATAATAAAATAAACATTAAAAGAAAAAATACATGAATAAAAGTTACAGTGCAGTCTAAGATATGAATAGTTCAATTAAAAGCAGCGACAAAAAGAAAAGTCTTCAGCCTGGATTTAAAAGCAGTCAGATATTTGGAGCATAGTAACTGAACGCTGCTTTACCATGTTTAGTTCTGACTCTGGGGACAGAAAGCTGACCAGTCCCTGAAGACCTGAGAGATCTGGATGGTTCATCATTTAGCAGGAGAGGTCAGAAATGTATTTTGGTCCTAAACCATTCAGTGCTTTATAAACAGCAGCAGTATTTTAAAATCTATTCTTTGACACACAGGAAGCCAGTGTAAAGACTTCAGAACAGGAGTGATGTCAGCTGCAGCTTTCTAATATATTTATTTAGTGAGACCTGTGAAGACACCATTACAGTAAAGATAAAGGCATGGACACGTTTTTCCAACTCCTGCTCTGACATTGAAAATAAGGCGAAACTAAATATTTTTGATAGCTTGTAAAAGAGCTTTCACAAAGGAAGCGGGGTAAAGTGGATCCACTGCTAGGAACAATGGAAGGAGACGGTGAAGGAAATCTACATAATGGGAAAACTGAGTCATCCTCTGAGATAACAAGAAGCACGGAGGGAAGAAAAGTGGGAGATTTAGACATTATTCAAGGACAATGAGAAAAGACTAGGACATGGAAGACTGCGTCATTGTGTTCTCATACAGCAGAGCAGATATGTGTCTTTATCATCTCCACCAGAGAGCTTGTTTCAAAGTGTTGTGCTTGTTTCTTACACTTTTTCTTTAACAGATATTAATGACGTGCACGTTGGTGTGTTTTTGTTGTGGATAGAAACACCATGTGGAATGTATAAGCACTTCACTGACAATCAATGAATTGATTAAACAACTTATCATGGCAGTTCAGCTCTCTAAAGGTTCATTTGTTTTTGTAATAATATGATATTCTTTTTATTGGTTGCCAAATATATTCTGCATATAAACTGTATTTGTCTATGCAGATAAACACGTGAAAACCTTTACAGCATTTGGCCTATAGATGGCACTAGAGTAATGTTCAACTTGAAATGGTACCAAGTCTAATTTAGATTTTTTAAAACATGGACACGTGTCACCATATCTGCCGTTAAGAGTCAAATTAAAGGTGTGTGTGTGTGTGTGTGTTCAGGTGTTGAATGAGGTGGTGGTGGACCGAGGCCCCTCCTCCTACCTCTCCAATGTGGACTTGTACCTGGACGGTCGCCTCATCACCTCGGTGCAGGGAGACGGTGAGAGCAGTCATGTGACCCCCAGCTTCTGTCTCCACGTAGATATGGTGAATAAATAATGTGGCAAATGAATAAACAATGTCCCCTCTGCGTCCTCCAGGTGTGATCGTGTCCACGCCCACAGGCAGCACAGCCTATGCAGCCGCAGCCGGAGCCTCCATGATCCACCCCAACGTCCCCGCCATCATGGTGACCCCCATCTGCCCCCACTCGCTCTCCTTCAGGCCCATCGTGGTGCCCGCGGGGGTCGAGCTCATGGTGAGAGGCAAACACTGAGATCCTTGCATGGTGTTTACAGAAAGGTGACAAACAAAAACCTTAACCAAGGAAACGTCTTAGAAAGGTATTGGGTCAACATCATTTCCCCAAATGATCAGAGGTGGGAAGTATTGGAGTACAAATACTTCGTTGCTGTACTTAAGTAAATGTTTCTGGTATCAGTACTTTACTCCACTACTTATTTTTCTGACGACTTTTTACTTGTACTTCTCACATTTTAACACAAATACCTGTACTTTCTACTTCTTACATTTTTTCCAAACCGGCTGGTTCCTTTAGTCTGAATGTGTGTTTGGTGGCGTGATCATTATTATTTAGAGTCATTGCGTGCCTATTGATTTGAACACGATCCGTGTATCCATCGTTTCCTGGTCTTCTCTAAAGAAGAGGGACCAATGGAAACGTTGTCATGTTGCCGTTGTTCAGCATGGAAACATTCATTAGCTAACAATGACATTATTGTTCTATTAATATAAAAGGAGGTCAGGTACTCTTTAAAACAGCTGGGAGTTATGGGTACTTTTTACTTAAGTACATTTCGAAGTCCATACTTCTTTACTTTTACTTGAGTGAAGAAGTTTAATCAGTACTTCTACTTTTACCAGAGTATTTTTAAACACGAGTATCTGTACTTCTACTTGAGTAAAGGATGTGTGTACTTTTACCAAATCTCTGCAAATTAATTAATAATTTCTTATTTGAGTGTTTAGTTGTTCAGCTGGGTTGAGATTATTTTTGAAACTATATAAAGATAATACACTTTTTTTTGTATGGTATCTTTCATACAAGAAATACAGCTGAGCACGAGTACGGGAAAGTAGAGTTTAGAACACGGATAGATTACCAAGTTCATGGAAAATAAAATAAATAGAATACAAAAATATAAACAGAAAAAGGTTTCAATAAATAAATTGCATTGTATAATATGGACATTAAAATCCACTGAATAATAAATAATGACCTTAATACAATTTAAGGTAAATCAACAAAAATTAAACAGACAAATTACAAACAATGTCAAATAATAATCTTAGTCTAAGACTTAAAAGGCCCAGGATCTTACTACTGTGGGGGAAACTTCTGAAGCGATTGGAGTCAGGACTCAAAGAGAGACACGATGGAGAGCTGGAGCTTTGATGGCAAACACTGACGTTTTATTCAGAGCTTCGGTCTTAGAATTCACAAGACATGTCACGGGCCACGGTTTGACCACACGGATGAGATGCCACAATCAATTCTGAAGAACCCTCCTGTAGCTCCAGGTTTTAACGTTCAGAGTGTAATAATCAACATTCTTCAATAGATAGACTAAACCAGGGGTTCCCAAAGTGGGGGTCGCGAGATGATTACAAAATTAAAAAAAAAAAAAAATGTGATTAATTTTTTTTATAATTTCAAAAAAAAAAATATTATTTTTTAATTTTGTAATCATCTCGCGACCCCCACTTTGGGAACCCCTGGTNCATAGACTGTATATATAAATGGACGTAGGGTCCGTGACGTCACCCATAGGATTCTGCAGAGTTGCCGAGAAGCCCTTAGTAGGCGGAGTCGGCCACTAACGGCTCGACAGTGACGTCAGAGTTCAACTCTTGCCTGCTCCAAATAAGGGCAAAGAGGCGGAGCCGATGCGGGACCATAGCTGACACCGAGCTGATAGTTCCAGAGCTAGCTGAAGCCACCAAGCTAAGCTAAAATCAAGCGGCAAACTCTGTGGAAGAGCCGGGACGCCAATACGGAAGTGGCACACACTGCAGTTCATATATTGGCCAATAGGGACTGACTGCAGAAAGGAGCAATTTCCATAGACCCCATGTTAAAATGCCCAACTTTACAGCAGAAAAAAACATGTTTCTACCTGTGAGACTGACCGTTGAGCGGCCCGACCAAGCAAGGAGGCAGAGGCAGAACGTCCAAAAATATAACCCGACGTGGGCATTTATTAAAATAATGTGCACAAAGTTCACAGCCTCAATCCTGCTGTTCTCCGTGAACACATCCTGCAGCCACAAAGATCTCACTCACACTACCAGCCTAACAAGACACAGCACCTAAATACACACACAGACTAACAAGACACAGGTGAGGGGGGAGCAATTAGTCACAGGTGAGGGGGGAGGAGACAACACAGGGCACCAGGTGCACACAATCAGCCACAGACATGGGGAAAGGGGAAGTTGTCGTCAATATACCTATTAAAACAATGATTAGCCTATATAAACATGTCCATGTGAGCTCTAGTAACGGCGTCTCGTCGTTACATCAATATCAAGCCACACTTATTGTTTTTACTTCGGCTGTGACTTTGTGTGTGCTCAGGATGAGTTTGGCTGTGTTTCGCTGTCGCTAAACAAGGAAACAACACCTCCACGGAGCTTATTCACAACGTCCCGACCAATCAGAACACACTGTGCTCACAGGGAGGGTGGGGGCTGGAGCTACTGGAGCTACAACGAGCCGTTAAAGGCAGAGAGTGAAATTCAGTGAATACACAAAGTTTACAGAGATGCAGTATGAGAAACCAATGTGAGTTTGGAAAATTGCACAATATAAATCTATTCTAGAAGACCTCAACAATGGAATGATGATCAGTGGAAATGGCCATGACATGGGACCTTTAATACTTACTGGTCTATGACGGCCATGAAAACAATGGTGGAAAAACACAGTGATGTATTCAACTTGATGGAGATTCAGTTTACTGTCATAGAAGGTGAAGAAAACCAGCCAATTGTCTTATTTGATGAACTGTTGGAACTAACAAAAAACATTCAAGCAATATATAAATTATCTTATAAAACGGACAAGTCAAATCAAGCAATCTGATTGGTTCATAGCCGTGATATGAGCGTATATCACAGGTAGAATTGTAGTTACTTTTTACAACAAGTCAGTATCCCTCCGCGTCTGATAAAAAGCTACAACCGTTACAGCTGTTACATTACGTCCGTTACGAAACTAACTAACAAAGCTTAAGATGGAAACATTTAAAGGTGACCTATCATGCAAAATGTACTTTTGTAAGTCTTTTATACATGAATATGTGTCCCCGGTGTGTATTTTTCTTTCCTATTGCCACACTTGGTAACGGTTTTATAAAAGCAATAGCTCACTTCCGGCCGTGTGGTAATATGTCATATAATGACCATATACCACGGCCTGTCGTGAGCTATTGCTTAAATATATTTCTGGTATATCGGTTTAAAATCATTTTCACGAGCTCTGAGTTTGTGCACATGGATGGAAATTCCTTTACACTAAAACATTTTTAAATAAAGAGCATAGTAACCAGAAATGTTTCTCCTTCCTCTGTAGGCTCCTGAAGAAGCAGTTCTTCCACCGGGCTCTCAAAGTGATGAAGAAAAAACCAGAGAAGGAGATCAAGAAAGAAAAAGAGAAGGAGAAGGAAAAAGAGAAAGAGAAGGAGAAAGAGAAAGAGAAAGAGAAGGAGAAGGAGAAGACCAAGGGCGACAGCAGCAAAGAGGAGGAGAAAAAAGGGAAGAAGGAGAAAGAGAGGAAGAAAGAGTCCGAAGTTGCCGAAACCAAGAAGGAGAAGAGCGTACGTGACACACTCTTGACCTCTATGTTGAAGAACAAACCCTTAATATATCTATCTTATCAAGATAGTGTTAGATAACCGTTAGAGGATCTAATGGGTGGTCTCAAAACATCAATATGAATATTTAGTATTGTATTGCTGCTTTGGCAGTGGGATCCATAAACACAGGATGACCAATCAGAGACTGCTGGTCCTGACAGTAAACAGGTGGATGTTGACTTTGGAATCAGGGGCTGTGGGTAAACAGTCCTGCTTTGAAAGACTTCTAACAAATCAATCACCTGCGAATATCTAAGCCGGTAACATTTTCTAAAGGGAAGGGGCTTTAACAATCCCTATTCCTTATGCCCAGGGAACACTTGCCAGAAGGAAAGAAGACAATGCCGTCATACTTGTCAATAACATCCGCCCGTTGCATAATAACGCCCTAGTGTAAGTGCCAGGGTCACCTCTTCCCCCCTAACCCTTCCCCTACATATTTTGTATGCCACTTCTAAATTCTGTGCAGAAATCTGAGTCAGTAGCATATCATGAACTATTTCTAACTTGTAAAATATAATTTCTTAAGATAGGGAAAACTAAAGCAGGTGTGCTAAAACTGTTCACCTGCAGCAGCCAACATTTCCTCTGTGAATGAACGGTGACGTTGAATTTATGGGCCTGACCAGCTAACTATTCATTGTGAACTTAGCAGATTGTTTATAATATGTTTCTATTTAAAACTCTCACAGGATGACAGTCCTGGAACTCCCAAGAAGAAGAAAGACGTGAAGAAGAAATTCAAACTGGAGCCTCATGAGGAGCAGCTGTTTCTAGACGGAAACGAGGTGAGTGGACGGAAACAAACCCCAATCAGAATTTCTGGCGAGTTTCCATATATATAATAATTTGGGCTCGCTGATATGCAACAGTCATGTGAACATGTTTTTAGACATTTAAAGATCAATAAATGACCTTTGCATATGATGCCAGATTTGAACACAACCTAATGAATGGTGATCTGAAACGTCTCTTCTCTTCAGGTGTTCGTCTGGATTTACGATCCTGTTCATTTCAAGACGTTCGCCATGGGACTGATACTCGGTGAGTCGGAGGTTGAAACCCATAAATGGATTTCTTTTAGCTTATTTTACTTTCTTAACTCCCCGTGTGTGTGTTTTCTCTCAGTCATTGCAGTGATCGCAGCCACGCTGTTCCCTCTGTGGCCGGCAGAGATGCGAGTTGGAGTTTATTATCTGAGTGTAGCCGCAGGCTGCTTCGTGGCCAGTATTCTGCTTCTCGCTGTCGGTGAGTACAAGAAGTTCATTTTAAACGTACTGGTCTCATGTATCAACTTAACACTAGAACCGCCAGAGATTTTTTATACCTAAAACCGCCACCGGGGTCAAATTGACCCGGCATTAGAATGGATTGATTTTCAAGGTAAAAGTATTGTTTTAAAAAGAAAAATGGTCCTGTGGTATTAGTATTTTGACAAGCAATTTTGTTAAATTGTTTCGTATATTGACGGTACAACATAGGGTTTCGTGAGGAGGTTGTCGTTGTTGGGTGAAAAGCAAACAGCTGTTTGCTGCGGAGCATAGCGCGAGCAGTCTCCCGTGAGCGGGAGCGCGCTCCTTCACTACAGACTCAATATATCCATCTATCTATCTATCTATCTATCTCTCTCTCTCTCTCTCTCTCTCTCTCTCTCTCTCCCTCAATCTATATCTCAATCTATAAGGAACCGCAGTTGACAAAAGGCGTTGCTATAGCAATACGTCATGTTTGTTTACACACAAAATCAATAGCGCGAAAAGGGGTGGGGTCAATATGACCCGCTTTGCGGAAATAGGTATAAATGGCAATTCTTTTGGCGATTTCTTCAATCTGACTTCATAATTGACCATTTTTAACAACATAGGGTGCTACATAACACACTTTCAGGAAAAGTCACGGACTGGGAGACTTTAATATTTTATTGAAAAAAAGTTACATACAATATAAAACAGCTCTGGGTCAAATTGACCACGTTGGCGGTTCTAGTGTTAAATACAACAAATATATATAAATATAAATATACAAATATAACCTTTACTAGGAGAAGAGCAGATGTGAGTTTTAATCCGCAAAAACCATCATTTCCAAGTAATGAAGCTAAAACTGTCAACATTAAAATGAATAACTAAATGCCTGTTGGCTAATAATTGATTAAACAAATGTTACATCAATTGATTATCTGGGTACAATTTCCTATTTTCATGGATAAATAGGTGGTTAAAAAGTAATGTAATACCTAAATGTATGAATTTCGAAAAATGAAAAAATATTTAATTAAAGGTGGGGTAGGTAAGTTTGAGAAACCGGCTCGAGAAACACTTTTTGTTATATTCCATGGAATGCTCTTAACATCCCGATAGCAATGAATATCTGAAGTGCTTTGACAAAAAATCCATAAAGAAATGTCATCTGCGGAAGCCGTAGCGCTGTAAAAAGCACGACCAATCACTTTAGCCGGCCCGGCTAAAGTAACTGGATGGCCTACCTGCCTGTCAGCCTTCCATCTGTGCACAAACTTATCTCGTGCCCTCATTGGTCATGTGCGCGATCGTGTGTGTTGGAGGAGGGGCTCTGTAAGGAAGTGGCAGATTTGTTCCGGCTGTGTATTTTCAAATTCTAGCGCACTCAAGCTGATTTCTCCATTCTTACCTACCCCACCTTTAAGATAAATAAAAAATACAAATTTAAAAAAGGAGAACATTTGATAGAACAACAAATAAAAAAAGGAATTAGTAATATTAACAATAATGCAAATTAAAATAAAAAAGTTCTAGCAAACATTCACTGACAGGTGGTTCTATTGTTTTATACTTGGCTGTATTTAATCAGCTGTATTTTAAAGTTGACCCCTCTCTGTCTGTCTTCAGCTCGCTGCATCCTCTTCCTCATCATCTGGGTGGTGACGGGCGGCCGCCACCACTTCTGGTTCCTCCCTAACCTAACGGCCGATGTGGGCTTCATCGACTCGTTCCGCCCGCTCTACACTCACGATTACAAAGGGCCGAGAGCCAAGAAGGACAAGATGGACGACAAGGAGGAGGGCGGCAACAAGAAATCAGACAGCGACGAGAAGTCTGACAGCGAGAAAAAGGACGGCGATGAGGAGGAGGAAGAGGAGGAGGAAGAGGAGGAGAGCAAAGAAGTGGGGGAGAGTAAAGAGGCGGAGGGGGGGGGAACGGGGGCGGAGCGTCACTCAGACACAGACAGCGACCGGCGGGAGGACGAGGGCTCGCAGCACAGCAACGGAAACGACTTTGAGATGATCACCAGGGAGGAGCTGGAGCAACACACTGAGGAGGAGGAGGAAGAGGAAGAGGAGGAAGAAGAGAGGAAAGAGGAGGTGGAAGAGAGGAAGGTGGAGGAGGAAGAGAGGAAGGTGGAGGAGGAAGAGAGGAAGGTGGAGGAGGAAGAGAGGAAAGAGGAGGAGGAAGAGAGGAAAGAAGGGGCGGAGAATGAGACGAGTCCTCAGACTGCTGAAACATAAACTTCTTACAATCCCACCACACTTTCTCTCTCTCTCTCTGCCCCCCCCCCTCCCTCCCTCCTCGAGGCCGAGGAGCCGCTCCATCTCTTCGTGTTGAGATCTTCCACTAAACAGCACCGGGATGGACACGTAGGGGAAAATAGATCATGGCTACGACAATGGGGGGGGATCATCTAAAAGAAGCCTTACAGAGGATCCGAGTCCTCCCACCCACATGTTATTTATGTCAAAACGAAAACTGCCACCGACTTGTCCTTTTTGTTCTCACGTCAACTTTCTTTTGGTGTTGTTTCCTCTCCAAATGTTTTTATTTATGTCCCCTTTCTTTAAAAGTCAGTGTCAGAGCCCCCCCCCCCCCCCCCTGTTGTCTTTGAGCTCCATGTTGTTGGTACAATCACGTTAGCCAAAAAGCCCTCGTTCTTTTGGTGACAGGAGAACGCTCCACTTCCTGTTGGATGCCAGCAGCCTGGCAGCGCTTAAAGGAACACCCCAAAATCAAAGACACACATTTTCCTCTAACCTGTTGTACCATTTATCAATCTATATTGTTTAAGCTCATCTGAGGAGGACACCATTAATGTTTACATCTCACCCTGTCTCTAGAACTTGAGTACATGCACACTTTTTTCTGTGCAGTGATTCGGTAGAAAGTGAAAGGATTATCCTGAGTCACTGGGTCATGATTTCCGGAATAGGAAAGTGGCGTTGAGTGTTTCAATTCGAGTCGAGTGCCACGTAGTTCCATAATATTTCCGAGAGAAGGGAACCATCCTCCTTCTGATGTCTCCAACAGCAACTCCCAAAGACAGAAACAAGTTAGATTGATGAAAAGCTATACCGGCAAGAGGAAAAATATCATCTTTGATTTTGGGCAGAAGTTTCCCTTCTAATCAAACTGACCAGCATGTCTGCTTTGAAACCCCAACCAAGCCAGATGGACCAAACCCTGAAGTTTACTCGAAGAAACCTAAAGTCGACCATGTTGTGGCTGGATGGAGTGTTATTAGAGCAGAGTAGTACAGCTAGCTGAGGTGATGCCAGAAAGATGTTGACCATAGTTCGAGCTGGGACACAGCTGGCGCGCTTAGCTTTCTTTCTTCTTCAAGAGATTGTCAGCATTCGTTGTACCGCTGAAGCTAGAAGATGTTTAATTCTCTAATGAAACTGTTTATTGCAAACCGAACCAGATATAAAGTCGACTCGAGTGCCAAACACGACTAATAATGATGTTATGCAGGCTCGTACAATGCGGATTGTTGAGAGCGAGGGTACGTTTTTGTTGATTTGTTGATTTTGTAACCGCCGTGTCAAACTCCTTAAACCTTTCACATCTTTGATAAAATAAAAAGCACAGCACAAAGTTGTTAGTGTGTAGCTAAACAAAGATTTTTGGTCTCAATGAAACCGTTTAGACGCCCAACGTAAACCGTTTCTGTCTCAGAGGCCGTCGTGAAAATCCAGACTGCAGTTTAATGTCCAGTCAGAGCGCGGTCCAATCAGATCATCACTTTTATGCCTAGAGGCTCTTTTTAGTCATAGCAAGGATTATATTTAAGTATAAGAAATAGTATCATTTATATATGGATTCTATGGATATATCAAATATAAACATAGCAGTATAATAAAGTATAAAACTCTTTTTTCTTTCATTTTGTATTAGTTCATTTTTATTTGTATATGCTTTTTGTTTTTTCTACGATCACAAAGCGCAAACTCATTATTTAAAGGAAACATCTGGGGTTAGAAAACAGTGGGAATTTATTACATACAAGTTTTTCTGTATATTTTTACATTTCCACGTGGATTTGTCTCACTAACAATTGGTCAGTTATTAACCCGAGCTTATACAACCAGTGGCGAAATCTCTCCTCGTAAAACAATGAGTTCATATATTCCACACGGCTTCCTGTACAGTTTGTTTGACCTGAAAGTGAACTCACTTAGACTGTGTTCGTAGTCTCCTGTAGTCCCACTGAGGTTTGTAGTTCTTCAACTTTCTGACTCCATGTTTTTTCTTTTTGATTATATTTGTTTTCTTCCCCAAAGGGCAAAGTGCATCTCTGTTTCCTGAGTTGCCAGTTGCTGTTCTCTAAACATTGGCATAACCGTTTCACAAAAGAGGAAGGAATACCAATTCTCCCAATAGTTCTTGACTGTCGCACAGTATCGGTCTGTTGTATATTGTAGTATTATTACACTATGCTGCTGCTTCTAATCGCACATCTCTGGGGGAAATAAAAAAGTGAAATTGTAAAACATCAATGTTTTATCTATGGTCAAAAGTCTGTCTTTTGATCACCTAGTTGTCTTCATTTGGATCAATTTCATTCTGAAGACTGTCTCATGCAATATTGGAGTAAACTTTAATAAAACTGGATGTCTGGAAATATATCTGTATCTTATCATTGCAATAAAAATATAGAAAGCAAACAACTATGGTCATGTTTTTTATAGCTAACGTGTCTTTTTGGTTGGGTTGGTTTATCCTTGGTGGCACATCAAATCCAGTAAAACATTTTTTTAATGACCATAACATTTGAACATGTTTATTTATTTATGTAATCGTTTATTTGGCAGGGACAATGCACAGTAATGAACACTTAAAACACTCAAATGTATCAAGCGTAACAGTGCCAGATTGAGCTAATTTCCATCCGCAGTCCCTCATAAAACATTTAAGAAGTTTACATTTTACAAACATAGCAAAAACAAAATGATATGCAAAAGAGCAGTCCATGAAAACATTTATTAAAAAAGTACATATTCTTAAAAGACTTAAAATTGTCAAAACTCAAGAAATTGTGTTTTTCAAGGATGGTACAATGGTGGTATGAATATGGCTTTCTGTCAAACACCTTGATAGCTCTCTTGTACAGCTGTTCTATGGGTTTCAGGTTTGTTAAACAGTATTCAACGTGGGATAGAATCATACAGTGGAGGTATGACTTTGCAGCATTGACAGCCTGTTTAGCCCTGAGCCTGTTTTTCAGGTCTCAGGCTCGAAAATGACATTCCCAGAACAAATGACCATATCTTCCCTTCTAAAAGGGTTAAATTAATAATCTTTTTTCTCAAAGTAATGATAAACCTGTGAGTTGGATATAGAAAAAATTCAGAATCAAGATAGATGTTTTTTATTTTAAAGAAAATTCAGATTGAACATAGTAAAAAACTGTAAATTATAGTGTCCGTCCAAATATTATATATATATTTATTTATTTTTATTTTTTTACTTACAGTGAAAACTACCCTTGGATGATGGTAAAGTAGACTAAAAGCTTTAGGAATCCCAAGTACAACATATAATAAGTACCCTATCAAGATTGATGCAAAACAAGTGACATATTCGGGACCTTGTACCTTTTTAGAGAGGTTTAGCAAAAAGAACTCCACCTCTGAGGTGATTTGGGTGGAAATAGGGGTTTTACCGTTTCTCTGGAACCCATTGGTCGATTTTGGTGATTGACATCTCTTTCTGACCGTTAGAGCCAATAGAATCGAAGGGGAATCTCCCCTCTCACACACAGTCTAAAATTAAAAGGTGTGGGATCGTGCACGCAGTTTAGCACCAGAGTGAAGCTGTCTCTAGGTCTGACATCTCAAAACCGAAAAGCAGATTTATTGCTCATGGATTATCAGAAATCATTCAAAGTGACACAGACACATTGGATTAACCTATGGATTAACTTCAGCATCGTTTTTTATCGTTTTAATGCCATTGAAGAGCACTTTTGACCAGACTACCACACAGGTTAGCCATTTTTCCGTTTTTAGCTACCTAGCTCCATATGTTTTGATGTGTGTTCTTGTTATTATCTCCGAGAGTTCGTATAATTTAGTGATAATGAAGGGCACCCCTCGATTCTGTGTCCCCTCACGATGTGAAACGATGGGTTGAGATGTGCAGCAAAGATAAATAATAAGGTTTTGTGAGTGAATTTCGGTGCAGTCATCTGTTAGCATTTTTCGCTCGTTGCTAATTCAGAGGCTCAGCGTTAGCATTGTGGGATTTTTTAAATCATTTTTTTTATAAATGATCAGTTAGATGAGTTTCTTTCCGTTACATGGATATAAAACATTCATAGTTTATTAAATGAACATGCCCTCAGACACTGTTTCCTGCAAGATGTTGCAGGAGGCCCCCGTTACCGGGGTCTCTCGGGCTTAACATTAAGAAAGGTCTAATTTGTTTAATATGTTGCAAGTTGAATTTAATGGTATTGGATACTTTCTTAATATGTTTCTTAAAAGTCAAGTTCGAGTCCAGCATGACTCCAAGATACTTGAAGTGAACTAGTTCTATTTCTGCTCCGTTTAAAAACACGTTGGATCCTTCGATTTTGACTGGTCGTTTACTGAACATCATGCATACGGTTTGTTTTTTTACGTTTAACTGTAAGCAAATGTTGTTCAGCCAGTGTTGAACCTTGTCCAAAGCATTTGAGACAAGATGCGATCATTTCAGTGTTTTGTAGTTGCTGCTTCAACCATACTGACGAAAGTAAAATAAAAAGTCATTGTATTCACAGTATGTTGAATAAAAGTATAGCAAAGTAGAAAAGGTCATAGTAAAGTATTTAATCAAAATGTCCTGAGATGGTATAGTCTTAGTATTTCCTAGAAATGTCATAAAAAGACAAAAACAATATTGAAAATATAAAAAGAGTATAGTATGCCCTGACATTTTTTATAGTAATAGTAAAGTATTTGGAAAGAAAATACATAGTACAGCATTTCAAAAAAGTAATAGCATGTTCAAAAATGTCATACGATGTCATAGTATAGTATGTCCCACAAAAAGTACCTAAAAATGTATTTTCTGGTCAAACTCAACGAAGGAATCGGCCCACTGGTTTTATTTTGAACCATTTAGTACTTCATTTTATTTTCATGTTGTCTAATAATAAGAATTACAGCAGTTTTAGTACAGGTGTACACAAAGAGCCGACAGAACAAAACGAGTTTAAACTTTATTTCCCCTTCAGTAACAGCTTCATGAAAATTAAAACATGACTGGCAGAAGTTTCTTCACCTCATTTTAGTTAGCATTCTTCTGCAACATGCAATCTAACCTGTAGAACTTGGGCAGAGAAGATGAGAGCAACATATTTATTTAAACGTAAACAGCTGCTGTTAGGATGAACAGGAAGTCGGCTTTGAATTGTAAAATTTGATTGTAGTCTTCGGCTGACTCAGTAATAGAAATGAAGGATCAGTTTTTTCAAGCACCCATCTAGATAAATATCCAATAAATAAGCCTCTAAATACACGTATCCTTTAATCTTGTATGTACACATTTACATTTGCAGTCCTTTTTCTCAATCTATCACTGTTTTTTACTCATAATCCCCCAAGCGTATGCCAGTAAAGCCTGGATCTTCGAAACTAACCATTACATTCAATATGAAATGCTCCATGTCCAAAACACTGAATAATCAAATAATTATGTAAATATATTGCAACCATTTTAGTGATTGTATTGTTTTCCCATTTCTATGCGAGTAACATGCTTTCTTCCAGTAAGCTGCAGATGCAATTACAGTTGGTTTTTGTACTGGAACGCCATGAGATGCTTTCTCAAATGTATAAAATACTGAATACACACATGCTATTCAAAGGACTGTTCAACACTGATTTGATATTTAGA